GATTGTTGGGGGCAATATGCTGACTCTCTGTAAACCGCTTAGAGAGGCCTGAAAGGCCTATGAAGCGGTATATAAGTCTACTGCTATTGGTATTGTCTGGGTTCTGTATCTTCCCATTGCTTTCTTTTCTAGATTCCTTTCTCTAGCCAGTCATAACATCTTCCCCATGTCTTGAAGTATGTAAGAGAATCTGGCTTCCCCATTGACTTTGCTTGTCAGATGGTGGCAAAAGGAGATCACAAGACTCAAGGATCATAAATATGAACAGTTGCCAAGCATCTAAATTTTGATCCCATGACATGGGAATGCTGCAAAGGTTGTAACTATGAAAAATGGTCATAAGTTACTTTTTTCAGTGTTGTTATAACTTTGGTCACTAAATAAACTGTTATAATATATAATATTTGTCTTCTGTTATGAAATCTCTCTTGCGTTGAGCTAAGGGTGTGTTTCTCAAAACCTGGGTACTTTTCCCTTCTGGGAGCTGACAGACGCATTCTTGACGTTGCCAAGTTTGATAAACAGTGAGCTAACGGAAAAAGTTGACTCCTAACAACTTCATGATGGTGCCCATGTAGTTTTCTTGGCAACAGTCTAGAAGCAGTTTGCCATTACCTTCCTCCAAGATATTTTGTTTTCTTGAATTCCTAGTGTAGCCTACCAGCTCTGGGATTTCCTGACCTTCAATCCAAGAAGTATTTCAGGATCCTGTTTAGCTTTCAGCCAAAGTTAGTAACTTGTACCAATCTTTAAAAAAAAAATAGGAATGGATAACTTTGAAAGTGCAACCAATGTAAACTACTTAATAGAAGCTAAATAGGTCGGTAAACTGAGGATCCAGATTGTTGGGAGCAATATGCTGACTCTGTAAACTGCTTAGGAAGGGTTGTAAAGCACTCTGAAGCAGTATATAAGTCTAAGTGCTATTGCTAAATTGGATGAGGCATTAAAGGAATTGCAGCTTCAGTGTCAGAGCCATTTCTTTACATGCAAAAGTTCCAAACTTTGATTCCAATATCTCCAAGCGCAGAGTGCCACTTAAATACAGCCAGCTCAGGATTCTGCATACTAATAGTCTGATTTGGCTGGATTCTAATGTCATGCTAAGCCTAAACTTTCAACAGCCTAGATTCACCGGCCACTGCCATAAACAAAGGCACAATGGCAGAGGGCAAACAACAGGTTGAGTCCAAGTAGTTGCTGTTGCTGCTGCATGAGAGAGAGAGAGAGAGAGAGAGAGAGAGGAAATGCCGGCCTTTTCCAACCTCTTTAAACAATCAAGGTATTTCGCTTGGCGAGGAACTAGGAATTAGCAGGTGGGCGCAAAAAGTTAGGAAGAGGTCGTGGGACGTCAAAGGCAAGAGGATGAAGAGAGCGAAGGACGACTTGATTGTGCCTCCAGCTGGGCCTTCCGGCAGATAACCTTCCCGTCCGGCATCGCCCCTTCCCCAACCAAACACACACATACAAAACACATAGACAAACGGGGCTGAGGAAGAGAAAAAACGCGCTGCCTCATCCACAACCCCCAAGCCAAAGCGGCGCTTTGCAACAGATGGTTCGAGGCATCTCTCTCTCTCTCTCTCTCTCTCCCTCCCCCCCTCCACTCCTCTGGGCTCGGTCCTGCCTTGCTCGCCGGCTGTTCCTTCGGGAGCCCCTTCGCACGGCGCACCGAGGGAGGGCGGGACCCAGGCCAAGCAGCAGCTGTGTGGTCTTGCAGGGCGCGCGCGCGCGCACCGCCTTTTCCATTCCATTGCACGGGCTTGGCTGGCGGACCTGCCGCGGCTAACAGCCGCCGCCGCCGCCGCTTTCGGGGGTCGCAGCTCGCTCCCTGTTGCCAGGGCGAGCGCCCCGCTCCGCCTCCGCCTCCTCCTGCGCGCGCGGGGGGGGGGTGTTGTCCGGTGAATTCGTGCGAACCCAGAGGGGTGCCTCCTCGGCCCTTACGCGCGCGCTGGAAAGAAGCGCGCTTTGCCTTGCAGCCTGGGGGGTAAGTTCCTTGGAAGGGGCGCGAGAAGGGAGCGCACCCCACCCCACCCTAGTTTCTCTCCCACTTCCCGCCTCCCTTTTCCCGTTGCAGCTTTTGGGATCTTGACCTTGTTTCTTGCATCTGAGGCACCCGCGGCAGGACGGATTCGCTGGGGGTGCCGCCTTTTGGAAGTACGGGGATGGGAAAAGGCGGACCTCGCTGCTGCCGCCGCCGCTGCTGCTTGGCCGACCCCGGCGGCGCTGTGTTTGTTTTCTAGCGGGGGGCTTCGAGAGAGAGAGAGAAACCTGCCCTTTAACTTTGCGTGCGGTCTTGTGGGTGTCTTTTCTCCAGAGATCCCGTTAAGAGCCACTTGCTTTCAAGGGGATAAGGGATGGGAGAGTAGGCTGAGTCCGTCTCCAGGGACTTTCAGCTAACGCTTGGAACAGTTTTCAGGGTTAGGTAAGCCTGGCTAGGTGGCTCAGTGGCGAAGACGCTGAGCTTGTCAATCAGAGAGGTCGGCAGTTCGAATCCCTAGTATAGGTGGTCTGCGTGAGCAGGGGGCTGGACTAGATGACCTCCAGACCCCTTCCAACTCTGTTCCCGTTAAACTAGGTATTTTGAAGACCAGGTGAAGCAGAAGGGATAGTGCTTCTCTAACGTTGAGCCTTCAATCCTGCGCCACCCTTGTCAAAACTTGAAGCAGCTGCATGAAACGTGCTTTTTTTAGGTAGATGCGCTGAAACATTTTGACTTCAGAGGAGACTGTGGTTTCCGTTTGCAAAAGCAACTGAACTGACAGTGGATGGGGCTGCTGCTGAGCTCCACCGTATCTGACCACAAGGTAGTACAAGGCAGACCACGTGACACAACAGCTCTGCCTCTCAACACCATGCTTCTTCAGGCTCCTTATTTTTTAGACAATGATAGGGCTGACCCGTTCACACTTCTTTTGTTTTGATAGATTGGAATGTCATTCTTTGGTTTGAGCTTGCATGTGGACTACATGCTTCTGGGTAGTAGCAGGTGTGGATAATGAATCACATCCCAGTTGACATTGGTTACTGAGTGTTTGACTGGAGTAAATTTGAGTGAGAAAGAAGTGACATTCAGTCAGAAGAAACTGATTAATTTTGATCCAAGAATTTGAATTCATAATCCCCCAAGGTTTCGTTAATGTCTGTCTAGTATGGTCTTTTCAACCAGCAGTGATTAAGGATTCTTTCATAGATCTACTTGAAAGCAACTACTGCTAATGATAAACTTAGAGTTGCAGATGGAATGAGTTCATTAAGCTAAAACTGTCCTGTTATTTCATTATGTCATGTACTTGGGCTAAATGCAGAGTTCCCCAACTCAGTGCCTTTCAGATGCATTGTCGTCAAATATCCTAATTTGTACTCAGTATGGCCAAGGGAGATAAACTTAAAAATACACAATTGATTTGGCACCTAAACTGGAACAGATAAAGGTTCTTGCTGTCTTGCTGCCTTTTGTACTTGTTATATTCATGTTGCTTCCAAAGGATTCATCTAAATGATTCATTCAGCCCGTTCTAACATTCATGTTGGGTTTACACATAATATCATTGGTTGTCTGGTTGTTTGCTTTATTAAGATTAATGAAGCAGGAAGAAACCATACCAATAAAATGCTGAAGAAGGAAGTTCTCCTCATCACTCCTTAAATGAAATTTCTCTTGAATCGATTCATTTTGTTTATAAGCAAAAACAAATAATGGTTATAATGTTTTATTATACTGTATAGAATATTGTATAATGCAGGATTAATAGCAACTGCTGTGATATTGGTAAGTAAAAGTATGAAAGAAAATAATAAGAACTAAAAACTACACAAAGATCTTGGTTTCACCTTGATAGTATAAATCCTGTAGAAGTAAAAATCTCTATTTTGATCTCTTGAAAATCTTGTTAAAGTATATTTGTGAACATGCAATCATACTAAAATAATTGTTTGCAATGCAATCAGTTTGAGAAAGGGTGAATTAAGGTTTACTTCAGGATTCATGCCATACAGTTAATATTGTTTAAAATGTAGCATTCAATCATTACAAAAAAAACCTGAACAACTCTTCAATTTTGCTTGGATGTACTCTTCAGGCAATTCTTGATGAAATACCTCCAAGGGCAAAGAAATATGAATTATACTGGCATTGGGTCACTTCTGCAATATTTGAAGCTATAACTGTTATATAAGGGATATAACAGGATCCAAAGTATAATCCATGATAAGAATTGGAAACTTCATTTTAATGCCTCTGATATGTGTAAGGAAAACAAACTTGCAATTTGAAACAAAAATACAATAGGTTAAGATCTCAGTCACAACTCAGACAGGTATTGCATTTCAAGGTAATTACAATTGATACCACAAATGATCAAGGATTTTAGCAAATGTAGCCCAAGAATGTGTATAAATGTACCGCATCCCTTCACTTTGTGATGACTTTTAGATATTTTGAGCTATAAATCTGAACTTGGTTTGCATTTTAGCAATGCTGGTGGTGCTTATGGGAAAGGTGGTTCAAAACTTTCTAATGAAGCTATGGTAAGACTGTAACTTCATAAAAGCAGTGTATAAATAAGCCAATGAAATGGGTACCAGCAATTCAGATATTGGGATATTGAATGCATTGTGAATGATTTAAAAAAAATACAAATTATCAAAAATATAAAATTAATAAATCCAATTGCTTTTAAAAGTGTAGTGAAATAGATCTATACTTACAGATATTTTTTTAAGGTTCACCGACAAATGCGCGCTCGACAAAAGTGCGCCGACAAAACCGCGGGGAGAAAAGCGCGAGTTCGAAATTGCGCCGAAGAATGAGCACAGAAGTGCACCGATAACAGCGCGCCGACAGAAGTGCACTCTAAACCTAACCCTAAAGGTAACCCTGAACCTAACCCTGAACCTAACCTTTTACCCTAACCCTTACCTTAACTGTAATGGCGCTTCTATGGGCACTCTTTTGTCGGCACGCCTTTGTGGGTGCGCTGTTGATGTCGTGGTTTTATCGCTGCGGTTTTGTCGCCGCGCTGTTGTCGGGCGTGCTTTTGTTAGGTCACGTTTTTTTAAATAGTAAAAGAATGGAAGCAATGCAGAAGCCTGAAAATCAGCTTTAAGTCTTAAATATGCAAATAGTAGTGGAATACTTATAAACCAGTAAGCAATTAGCAATCAATACAAATGTAATTACAACATAACGTAATTCCAGTACCTACACCTAATTAATAATGTAGCTATAGTTTATACCAATTACAGGTTCAAGATACTTTTCCAAGAAAACAAGCTCTATAGAGCATATTGCAATAGTATAATAGATGCTCATGGCAATGATTGTACTATTTCTACCTGCTGTTTTAAGCACTAGCTCAAAGAAATGGAGAGAACCTAGAACTAGGACTGCAGAGTTAAAGCCATAATCCTTGTGAAAACACTGTGGTCCTTGGATGTTAGGAGTTTTATGTCATCTCTTTAGATGTACAATGAAGCACAAACAAGTTGGCAAGCAAGTTGAATTGACAATCCTAATCCTCAATCTCTCTGAGCAGGTGGTTTCCACTTTCTCAGTTCACTAATAGATGCAGGTAATGCCATGCTCCAGAACACAGTAAGTCTTTGTACAGTTGTTGGGATTAAAGCCCGGTAAATGGGGATGTGTGAAATTTAAATTGCAGGAGGTGGCAGGTGGGTGGATAAAGATTAATGTCAACTGAATTTCTGTTCTTAACTCAAGGAGAAATACTTCATTTTGTTCCACATTGTTTTGAATCCTCCATTATCTAGGAATTGTCTTTAAAAAAAAAGAATCTCTAAAAGCCATCTGATTGGCTTTTTTTGTTGCAATCCCTGGGGTTCTGCTTCCTTTCTTCCCTGTTTTTAATAGAATGAAAGGAGCAAACAGATGAAGTAAGTGTGGCAATGGCCAAAGCTTTAGGTATCTACATTATCCCTAAAACACTGACATTTTCTTTAGTGAGTGGGCTTGTTGTTTAGTCTCTACAGAACAGGGAACCCTACAAACAGAGGATAAAATAATCCAGAAATTTCAACCATACCTACTCTGCTGATTGATCGTAGATAATTCTAGCTCCAAAGTATAGTGAAGATCTTTGATACGAAGATTGAGAGTATATTGATAGCCATCCCTGCTATAGATCTGGCACAGGATGTAACCCACCTCAGACATTCTGGTTTTCAATTGAGGGTGAAACAAAATAAGTATATCCTATGCCTGGGGTGTCAAACCCATGTCACGGCGGCATCATGTGACATAGCGGGACTTTCCCCATCTTTGCTAAACCAGGCATGGGCATAGCAAGCATGTGATGCATCCAGCCCATAGGCCGGGTGTTTGACAGCTCTGTCCTAGACTTTTCATATTTAATTTCTGATTTTGTACAACTTACAACCCCAAAATTTATGTTGCTAAATGAAACAATTGTCATGTGAATTTTGCCCCATTTTACAATTGCTCTTGACATATTTTTTAAGTAAATTTGGTAACACAGTTGCTAAGTGAATCTGGCTTCCCTATTGACTTTGCTTGTCAGAAGGGCGCCAAAGGCCGTTAAAACCTGGCTGTTCCGGCAGGCCTGGGGCTGTTGACCTTAGTGTTAAGGTCCAGCCCTGATTAGATCATATGTGTGTTGTGTATTTTAAACTTTTTTTTTTTAACTTATTTTGCTTTTCTTTTTTTCTTCTTTCATTGTAAGCCGCCCGGAGTCCTCCGGGATTGGGCGGCCTATAAATTTAATAAATGAAATGAAATGAAAGATGATCACATGACCCCAGGACACTACAACCGTCATAAATGAGTCAGTTGCCAAGCATTTGAATTTTGATAAAATGACCATGGGGATGCTGTAATGATCGTAAGTGTGAAAGAAGGTCGTAAGTCACTTTTTTTAGTGCCGTTCTAATTTTGAACAGTCACTAAACAAACTGTTGTAAGTCGAGGACTACCTATATAAATAGGTAGAGCAATCTTCCATGTTTTTG